AATTGGGTATACAGCTCGATATATACATGAATGTATTTTCAACTAGGGTCGTCGAATTTCGGAGTGAACAAATCTTCACTTGTACCAATGTTTTGTGTTCTTACTTCTCGTCATGAGAATTTTAATGGTTCCCAGTTTCCAAGTAAAAGTGGTAATCCGTATATTACAGTAATCGTCTAAAACCTTATCTCACACATGATGCTGTTCTTCAAAATTGAAGTAGTTTTTTAAAAGTGTAACAAGTAATAACTGGATTCTACTGCTAGCCACTATCCATCTATGCTTATAATGCTTGTGAATTAATGCAATATCGAGTAAATACGAACAGTATACACATATGCTAATAAGAGACTGATTAATTTCAGTTCTAAACATTAATGGGAAGATTCAGGTAAACAATAACAATGAATTTGTTCTAAGAGTTCATTTTTTTCAAATAATTAGGCAGATGTAACCTTGAATAGTTCTCCAGAGTGAATAGTTCAAAAAATATTCAACATCTGATGCTGATCTCACTGGTTTTAATCAATCAACAATTCACGCTATTCTATTACACACTTGAGACTTTTTTTTACATCTCTTTAGCTAAACACCTTGGTAGTCTCGTGCTTGTTTACCTTCGGGTGTTGACAAACTAACTATTCCGTTCTGATGAATATATTGTATTCTTAGAATGAACGATCTAGTGGGTGTACACAGAGTTTTGAGGAGTTTGGTAGCAATGCTATTATATTCTGCTGTATCAAGGATGTCCATAAATACTGAGGTTATAATCATTAGTAGAACTAAAGTCCCTAATAATCAAAATAAACACTATTAGGTTTTCTTCCCTATGATAATTTCAGTAAAGAAATGCTTTACTTCCACTTCAAGATATTAGTATAAAAGGATGAACAAGATTTCATTATATTTATTTTAATAATTTAGCAGAACATCATATAACGATATTATACACACTGAGCAGTAGTTCATTATAGTTATGTACAAGAAACCAGCAGATGAGTAGTTTTAAAATATTTATCCTTTTCTTTCTAATGTATATTTGAATTCAAGCATTCTCATTCTAGATATCAGAAACACCAGTCGAAAATCACTTATGTTTGGTATACAAAATGTTTTTCCCTCGTCGATTACTTTTTCAACTTATTAATGATATTGTTTCGGGCATTAAAATATTCTAATCCTGAACTAGGTATCTTATCCTCTTGTATATCATTTTCATAATCTGTATTACTTTTAACAATTAGGAAAATAAATAATGCATAAATATCTGTTTATACTTGCAATGCAATAATTTAAAATGAATGAAATTAATCTAAAATAATATCAGAAAGTCAATATATTCAAAACATGACTACCGTTCCAGAAAACTGTTCAAAATTTTCTCAACTATAAATTAGTTTCAATTTCATAACCTTTTGGTTTGTTCAGACTCATTTGTAAATAAACTCATTATACAAATTATAAGTTGAGAATACTAACAGTAAATTAAAATCTCTTTGACCATCATTGTAAGGGACACATAACAAACGGAGAAGATATGCAGAGAGTTTTCCATAAATTGCTCTAAAAAACATTCCTTTAAATGGCGTTATCTATATATATATATATCATGTTAATGTAGTATCATATAGACAGTCTTTCCTTCTCTTAGGTTTGGGAATCTGACTAGTAACTACCGTCTTAAAGGGTTTCTCAGTATATCTTACTGTAGTATTTCATCTAATTACACAAGTACTAAGTCGTAACGCAAAATATGTGTTTGGAGTTTATGCTAAAGTTAGAAGACATAAAGGTAGTTCAAATATTTTCCACAGTACTTGACAAATTGATTAAATGTAAAAAAAAGACAAGATTACACACTATCAATTTTTATAAATTTGTAATGATCTCTAAAATAGTAGAGTTGGGTGTGGTTAGTTAAACTGGTGAAGTAAATTATCAAATCAACACACTGTAAACAGTCAGCTATAAGAAAAAACTCTTCCTACGAAAGTCAGTAATTATCCAAACTTATTTTCGTTTAGGATGTATTCACTTAATTAGTTACGCTTTTCATTGAAGTCTTAGGACAGCGGTAATTACCATTAAGTTGAAAAGAATCATATCCTATATACGAAGATGTGTTTTGTTTAAACATAATGTTGACTAAGTAATAAAAAAAAGATTAACACAGATCTTAAGAATCCGTTAATTCACAACAAGCTAGGTTAAATTAAGGGAAGGTAACTTTGACTACTGAGATATATGCGTGGTCTTTATGCTACTGTCAAAATATTCAATCAGTAATACGATCAGCCAACTAAAACGTTTATCTCATCAGATCCCACTGTCCCAGAAACGTTGATTTAAGAGCTACGTCTTTTGAAGGATTTGGTATGAATATTTGCACTATGATAGGAGATTGTAAGTGCAGTCTTATAGTTATCTCTACTGGGATTTGATAAGAGTATGGTGTTAACATTAGGTGACTTGAGTTCTTGAAATGACGATTAACGTATGCTAGATGTCAGTAATATAAATTAAGAACTCTTAACCGGCGCCTACCAAAATGTAATATTTCTAAACTGTAATGACAGAGGCGTCATTCAACTGGATTTTAATTACATTCACTTCACTGTACCTTGGAATCCTTCAGAAAACCAGCCAAATTATGAAGAGTTACAATAAAAGTAAACCATAAAAAAGCAGCAGTTTAGAACGTTAAGCTTAAGGAAACCCGTAGATATTTCGGTCCGACATTTGAGTCAAGATAACTGATCTTTGAATCAATATATGCAAATTATCAATAATAGTTTTCCTTAGAAACTGGAACAAAACTCACTTGAGATAAATACATGGGAAAAATCCAGATTTACTAAATTCTTTGAACCTTAGATCTTATAAGGTGAAATCCTTAACCGAAACTCAAGAACAAAGACTTACTTACTTACGCCTGTTACTCCTCGTGAAGGAGCATAGGCCGCTCACCAGCATTCTCCATCCAACCATGTCCTGGGCAATCCTTTCCAGTTGTAATTCATTCTTTTCATATCTGCTCCTATTATCCGACGTAATGTATTCTTTGGCCTTCCTCTTTTCCACTTCCCTTCAGGATTCCAAGTTAGAGCTTGCCTCGTTATGCAGTTTGATGATTTGCGTAATGCATGTCCTATCCATTTCCATCGTCTTTTCCTAATTTCTTCTTCAGCTGGAAAATGGTTTGTTCTCTCCCACAGAAGGCTATTGCTGATGGTATCCGGCCTATGGATGATGAGTATCTTGCGTAGACAACTATTTATAAATACTTGTACATGTTTGATGATGGTTGTAGTAGTTCTCCAAGTTTCAGCTCCGTACAGTAGAACTGCCTTGATGTTCGTATTGAAGATTCTCACTTTGATATTGGTTGAAAGTTGTTTTGAGTTCCATATGTTCTTCAATTGTGGGAATGCGACCCTTGTTTTGCCAATATTCGCCTTTACGTCTGCATCTGAACCTCCTTGTTCATCGATGATGCTTCCCAGACATGTGAAGGATTCTACATCCTCCAGGGTTTCTCCGTCAATAGTGATTGGATTGCTGTTCTTCGGTTTGAATTTGAGAACCTTGGTTTTCGCCTTGTGTATGCTGAGGTCTACTGATACACAGACTGCTGCTACACTGACTGTCTTTATCTACATTTGTTTGTGTGTATGCGATAGGAAGGCTTGATCATCTGCGAAGTTTAAATCGTCTAATTGGTTCTGAGCTGTCCATTGTATTCCATGTTTTGCCTCAGATGTCGAGGTCTTCATAATCCAGTCGACCACCAGAAGAAAGAGGAAGGGGGAGAGTAGACAGCTTTGTCTGACTCCGGTCCTTTCTTGGAACGCATCTGTCAGCAGTTCTCCATGCACGACCTTGCACTGTAGTCCGTCGTATGAGTTCCGGATAATATTGACGATCTTCCCAGGTACTCCATAATGTCGAAGAAGTTTCCACAATGTTCTCCTATTCACACAGTCAAATGCCTTTTCATAATCAATGAAGTTGATGTATAGTGACGAGTTCCACTCAACTGATTGTTCGACGATGATCCTTAGTATTGCACAAGAACAAAGAACTTAGAGGTAAACAGGTAGATCCTAAGCATGATAGTAGATACACTATTCAGATATTTACAAGTCTCCAGGTCTTAAAACAAAGGTATACGTACGGACGCCTTTAGCCAGCCATATGTCTTGTTATTAAAATCGCCGATTAAATTTGCTTCCATGTCAGTGTACAAAGAGTATATACAAAACTTTACTAAAGAAAACACAATCAAGTCCAATTTCGATAGTTTTTGAACAAATATGAAGCTATGTATCCCATATATACCAAAAAATGCAGGTCAAGACAAACAGTGTAGCAGCAGCCTCTTCATCAGTAAGCCTCAAAATGCACAAGGGAAAAAACAAGATCCTTAAATACAACACAGAGAATACAAACCAACCCAATCACACATGACGGTGAAAACTTTCATGTACCTAGTAAGTACTATCGATGAACAAGGAGGATCTGATACAGATGTAAAGGCACGGATTAGTAAAGTAAGGGTAGCACTCCTACAGTTGAAGAACATATGGAACTCAAAACAACTGTCAACCAATATCAAAATCAGAATCTTTAATACTAGCATCTAGACAGTTCTACTGTACGGAGCTGAAACTTCGAGAACTACACAACCATCATCAAGATGGTACAAGGATTTACAAACAGTTTTCTACGCAAGATGCTCCATATGCATTGGCCGGTTACCATCAGCAAAAACCTACTGTGGTAGAGAACAAACTAACTTCCAAATGAAGATGAAATTAGAAAGTGACACTGTAGGTGGGTAGGACATACATTGCAGACCTCATCATACTGCATCACGAGGGAAGTGCTAACTTGGAATCCTTAAGGGAAAAGGAACAGCGGAAGACCAAAAAACACATCGCGTCGAGAATTTCATTTAGGCATCAAAAGATTGAATAGCATTTGGAAACAACTGGAGAGGATTGCCCAGAACAGAGTTTGATAGAGAAAGCTGATGAGTGGCCCATGTTCTTCGACGAGGGGTAGCAGGTGTAAGTAGGTTAGTAAGTGAAGTATAATGAAGTAACTATTGATTTCTGGGATTTTATTTTTATTTTATTAAAAAATTACATGCAATTACAACCCTATGTCCTTCATACTGCAAGAGAATTCATTTTTTATCTAGGAGTTCCCTGAAAGAATTAGTTTACATCATAACAGAAATTCGCAAGACACTCTTAACGAAATCCAAAACCTGAAAACCCTAAGAAAAAGTTGAGCATCGAAAGGTCTTTTCTTCATATGGGATTTCAAAACCACATAGTTTAACTACAAAAGGTATATTGTATTTCTTTATATATTAACCGAAATGAACAATGTAACTTTCTAAGGCCCACCGGTTGTAATCCGGAAGGCGAATGTAATGCACTTTAGTTTTCTCTGTGCTAAAGTATAACTACTGATGGTGAGGTGTATACAAATGTTAGTAGTATTCAGTGTTGGTCTCCTACAAAAATTAGTTTGCACGTGAATAGAACCTACAAAATGGTAAAAATGCTTCTTGAAATAAATACACTGACAAATAAGGTACTAAAGATCAGGTTAAATTCATTAATGAAATCTTGAAACCTACCGTGAACCACTCTCTTTTTGAGTAGTATCTGAATCTGAGTCATAGTGACTGTTAACCGTCATTCCCGGACTCACTCTTTCATTAGATAAAAAGTTTACACCACCGTACATATCTATAATTGAAAATAGAAATTTGTGGATAAGTGACTGAAAAAAGACCCATTTTGAAGTAAAAGACGAAGTGACACTTCGATAAAGTAAGTGTTAAACGAGTTTATTTTTCTACAGATGTAAATTAAATACTGATGACCTGATTGTTAAAAGAAAAACAAGCACTCATCATATATTTATGAGAAGTATGAAAATGCATCCAAAATCTAACTAACGTTTTCAGTAAACCTTCATTAAATGCCGTTTAAGTTTTGTGACTAGGGTTTAGGGACGAGCGTTTCCTATACAAATCACGTAGATTTAAGTTTCGTTTTGAAATATCGAGTCACTTATGAGCTCATATATGTCAAGAGTATGAAAAGCTCTGGGTATCTGTAGTTTTGCTCAAGAACACAATTAGATAAAGCATATTGTGTGAACCGAGCTCACAACAGGATGGATCAAGTGTGATCAAAACATGACGGGATATTAATCGGCTTTATAAGCCTTTTTAAACCAAATGCACAAGTGTTGGATATTATCAAATGGATGTTTTAAGATATATACATTGTAAGTGTATATTGTGAGGTACTGTACATATATCCCATAATTTAATCATTTTACGTACCTTTCTCAAAAAAAGGAATTAGAAGAACGTTAATTGGTTTAAGAAGTGCTACGTTTGAGGAGATTACGAGATCACCTAAAATCGACGAACGGAAAGAAGGACCAGCAGCAGAACAACAAGGTCAGCTAAACTATTCACTGCGCCCTAGCCCTGCAAACTAAAAGGAGACCAGATTTAGACAAGGGAAATGTACATTCCATAAGGGGTTGAAAGTACGAGCGAACAGGTATACAACTTAAGCATATATACACTGTGTAAAAATGCCCTTGAGAAACGTCACAAAACAGCTTCTTAAAAGAGGAAACGAACCAATGACATTTAAGGTCCTTCCAAGTGGGAAATACAACCTGAAGGTAGAAATGTGCTCTTTTGGCGCAGAAATGAGAAATGCAAATTTCTAAAATAAAATTACAAAAATAAGACGTTTACCAAGTGATTTATAGGGATCTAGCTACTGAATTAAAATGTTGACTGATCAGAGTAAGACGAATAGTGACATTAAAAACAAACTTTTCTATTTTTTGTCATTCATCAGAAATCACTATTCGAAGTACTAAAATGAAGATTGTAGTGTTTACCATACTTTATCGACTCGTTTATGTTGGACACATAAGTGAGAGTACAGTTTAGAGACGAGCTTAAAACATCCTCCACAAATTTTCAGCCAGTTCTCAGATAATCATGGAGTAAATTTCTTAAATGGATAGTTTATGAAACGGAAAATAATAATATAACAAAGTATAAACAGATGTCACTTGATTAATGAATGTATTAACGATTTCTTTAAGTTAATCTGCTTGTAATTTTAAAAAATACGACACATAAGTCCGACCAAACTGATGTAGATTATTCCTAGTTCGAACCCTTATAATGAACTCAAGAGATTTTGTCGAGTTCCGACATTGTTTCTACTTGGGGTTAAGACCAGGGTTTTCATCAATAAGTGACATCGGGTGTAAGGCAAAAGTATTCTGCAGCCTAATGGACGAGTGAATTTCACACAAAAATCGAACGGGCACTGTCCGATTAGGTTGGTAATGAAATATAGTTCACTGTGGTTAAGGTTTAATTTTGGATCAAGAGTTTGGGGTTAGGATTTAGGGATACTGTCAATTTGCCTGTTAAGTACATTTTACAAAGATGGAATCCAGAGTAAAATCACTTGAACACTATCATTTTTCCACTGTGATGACAACAATTTATTTATTCTCTGAAGAAGCGGCTTAAACTGAGTCATGAAATGTCAGATAGTTTAATTTTTCTACTCATTCGGATATTACAAATATATTAATTTATTTATAACAATCTATCCAATGCTCAATTTGTTCGAAAGTACCAAGTCAAACCTTGGTAATGATACCTACAATAATATAAAACTCTTTGAGCAGTTCTTCAAGGTATTTCCAGTGTACATTATACGCGATATTTGATTTTCGCTCAAAAACTCAAAACTCAAAATTCCGACTCTGGTTGACTGGTTACTTTACTGCACTTTTGCCTACACATTAATGTGTACTTAGTATAAATATGAATTTTTATTATTGGTACAAAAATCCATTTAATGCAGCTGTTGTAAGATTACTAGTACACCTATCATCAAAAGTAAACGATTCTTTATTAATATTCTCCACATACCTGGGCACAACATGTTCAAGTGGTTCATATAGTTATTGTTTTCAAATGGTATGTGTAAAATATTTTCGCTTCCTGATGATCGCTTACGTCCCTCATTATTTGATGATAGTGACATTAGAAATGCTGCTGCATCATCAATGTCCAATCCCATTCCAAAGTAACCACGATTATCGTTATCGTCTCCAGTAACAATATTATTTAAATCATCATCAGTTAATAAATTGGAATGATATTGAGATCGAGCATGACCGACACCAAGGACAGCTGCTAATGCTGCCTCAGTTGTTGAGTCTGAATTATCAAGAAGACTAGGTTTGGTTGCTGTATCAATCATTTCTAACCATTGGCTGTTATGCCAACGAAAACGTTCTGTTTGAATCCTTATTCTCCAATCAGATTCATATTCCTAAAAGATAATAAGTAATAATAAGATTTGAATTAAGTGTTTACAAACGTTACAGAAACTAATAAAATCCAAAATATAAAGCGTTTTATTTATATCTTAGTAATTGATATATTTGTCCATATATTTAATCTAATTGTATAAAGTTGACTTCAATTTTAGCAATGAGGTTAAAATAAGTAACATATGTGTTTCTTTATTGTTCAGGTTTTTCTTATACTTTCCATGAACTTTAGCGTACCATCTGTTTGATTTTTTCCTGAAAAGATATATTAAGACGATAGTGCACAATCAAAATGTTCAAACTTTATTGTGTTGATAAATTACACGATCTTGATATACTTCATCTGTCAGTGACGTTACCTAACTCTGTAAAAGGTATTAATTGTGTATAAGACATTATTATAAATTATCTACATTCAGAAGTATTGGCTAAATGAACAAAGAGAAAGTAAGTTTGTTGTGTTATTGTTATTTATCAATAAAGTGTGTCAGGAATCCAAGAGAAACTCGAAACATTTTTAAGAATCAAATAAGTACTTTTAATTAATGAAGTCATAGGAGCTACAGTTGGATTACTTTGAGGGCTAATAACCTTTTTTTAAATGATGCATTGAAATTAAATAATTGTTAGTAGTTATCAAGTATTTGAATAGCGAAACGTAGTTAATTTGAAAAAAATTTATGGTTTCTGTATTAATCCAGTCAAAATTCTCTTTGTTAGTCAGATAAAAGATGAAATACGAAGATGATTAAGATTTTCATAAAGAAAAAGTGTCATTTCCATCCACCATCACAGACTAACTGCTTTGGTGATACTTATCATGAGAAAATAATGGTTATCCATTTTCATCTTTCTGTATTTATATATAGGTGTAACTATTGAACACAAGGAATATATATTACAACCGTAAAACATTTTATAATGAATTCGTTCAATAAAATATACATGGTAGATTCAGGATTATTTTAATTATTAGTGTATATCCAAGTGTAGAATTTCTTTGCAAAAATATGAGTTAATATAGATTATTAACTTACACAAACAATATCCAAGGTAATATCACAAAGTTTTCGAATATCAGCATTTTTATCATGCATCAAATCAACAAGATAAGCAACGGCTTCTAGAATATGGGTAAGATTTGTTTTTGTTTTTTTTAAAAAAAAGAAAAAGAACAACCGTGTAATGAAATAAGATATGATTGACTATGAAATTCATCTTTAAAATACTTTAAACAAATATGATTACTATCAAAAGGGGTTTGTTGTGGATATTATAGTAATTTTAATAGTTGACATCATGAGTTAACTGAAGCTAGACCACCATGGAAAACCTGGAAGCACTGGAACGCCGTTTCGTACTAGTATGCGACTCCTCAGCAGTGCTTATTCACGATGCCGCCCCCCGCGAGATTCGAACCCAGGACCTACCAGTCTCACACGAGAGCGTTTAGCCATCAGACCACTGAGCCGGTATCCAGTGATGTTAATGTCTAACTTCAACCAATCCACGAAGTTGCGCCAACGTAAACCATTGTCTTCAGTGAGTTGATATCTCACAACAGACCTGGTTGAACTCCACTGGTAACGGCTTCTCACTAGAACTCCAGGAAATGCCTCTTGAAGTCAGTCACTAGTGGGCAGGTGGTACCGGCTCAGTGGTCTGATTGTCAAACGCTCTCGTGTGAGACTGGTAGGTCCTGGGTTCGAATCTCGCGGGGGGCGGCATCGTGAATAAGCACTGCTGAGGAGTCGCATACTAGTACGAAACGGCGTTCCAGTGCTTCCAGGTTTTCCATGGTGGTCTAGCTTCAATTGAATCATGATTTAAACTATTGAAATATGATTACAATTAACAAGAAAAACAGAACAATTATACAATGTGAAAATAAAAGTTCTCATGACAACTGAAATATTAGTGTTTAAAATAAGCATTTCAATACATGAATATCGGCTAGAATCCCAATTTTAAGAATTTCATAGTGCATGATTAGTGTCTTATCAAACTCTCTTAAATACTAAACTAATAATATCAAAAAAATTATGTCAGTATAGTCGAGGAGGCAAGAACAGGGATATATTGATTCGTTTGTGCGTTTTCAGTAAGCATTTATCAAACATTTGGTTCATGGTATTTTTTACTCTTTAAAGTGTAAGCTGTCTTTTGACTTGTCGATCATAATTATATCTTTACAGTATAGGAATTATGGGGATTGTCGAATGGTGTTGAGATCACAGACCGATGTATACTTGGTGATCATTAGAAACCTGAAGGCACTGGGAGGCTTCTTTACCTGGTATGGGATTCCTGAGCAATGCACATCCGAAATTGGACTCGGAATCTTCGGTCTAGCGCGCAAAAGCCTAGTCTACAAAGCACTGAATCGAGATCCAATGGTGAACAAGTTTAAATTCAGTAAATTCACGTTATCCTCACTTGTTCATAAACAACAACCAATCATCTATAAACGGGTTACTGAGGTTTGTGTGTCTGTTGCGATATATAAGTTCGAGTACGTTATAATCTATTTCCCTCGTGTAACCAAGGTAGCTGTGCATCGAAACGACGAAATAACTTGCAAATATTCGTTTGGCTTTTCAGTGTTTTGATTGGGAGTTATAATTGGCGTGATTATACTGGAAAAAATGGTTACGATATTGTTCGATTTATTGATATAATTTTAGTATAACATAATGTATCGATAAATTATCTGAATCCAAAATCTTCCAATAACATTTAGATCAATGCAATCCTTATTATCGGAAAAGACAATTTGAAGTTGATCAAAAACTTCTTAGTGAAATGTGACCTGCAAGATTATCGATGCAGTCTATAGTGTTTGCAGAACGAGAGTACTATATTATTTCTCAGTTAGGCTTTAGAATTCGTAGGTAACTGAAAAGTTTAGTGAGACATTATAACCTTTAGTAACGGGTTCATTTCTAGATTTTCATATCACTTACTTATACCTATGAGGTGTTAACAAAAGAGTGTTGTGAACGTAGATCGGTCTAATATATTTCCATTTTAAGCACAACCAAATTTTACGTTTATTTTAGTTGGGAGCACTAGACCACAGACGCCTTAGAGATATTGCTCGCATCTGCTGGGATCAGCGGGTAAGTGATAGTGAGGTTAGACGCATGGTATTAGGGAATGATGGTAAATCAGTTGATGAGTTTGTCAATCTTCATCGACTGAGATGGTTGGGCCACGTGTTACGTATGCCTGAACACCGATCACCACGACGCGCTATGCTAACCGGTGTTGGGGATGGTTGGAAGAAAGTTAGAGGCGGCCAAACTAAAACGTGGCATCAGTGCTTGAAGTCAATAACTTCTAGTCTGAGCCATGTTGGTAGATGCAGACTACTTGGTTGGGGTCCGTGTGACTATCGTAACCAATGGTTGGAGACTCTTGGTGACATGGCTCAGAATCGATCACAATGGCGTAGATGTATACACTCTCTTTCATCTTTTTAACTATGAGATTAAAATCGCTTCATATGCTTCTTTCTACGAACTAATTCCTTCTCCCTGTACTATATCCTTATATGCAATCTTTCTTTTATATATTATCACCTCTGAATTAACTACTTTTATGAATCCGGTGTCCATCTTGTTGTGTTAATGAGGTATGGCAACTTGGACCGATGCATATATGTGCCTGGTCCTACGTTGTAGCTGACTAACTGACTGATTGATGCTTCACATACCAATGAATCAGTTGATTTGTGTACAAATTCCAATAATACTTGTTATTGACCAATTGTTCATCATGTAGCCTATTTAAAATTGACCTTTAGCTTTACAATATTGAAATAATTCTTAAAAGATAAATGAAAAATGACCATTAGTACTCACGTGTCGTTTTTACTAACAGATTTCTTGTTGATTCATGAAAAGTTAACTGAAAAAATGTATAGACGATTTGAAAAACAATTTCGTCATCCTCCTGTTTAACTGAAAAAAAAATCAGATATTACAAAGGAGTGTGATTTCTGATGTTAAGATATTACTCACATAGGTCGTATGCAATGTGAAACATTTATCTTAGCCCATAATTTATTGCTTTGTAAGTAGCACCATTTATTTAGAATAATTTTAGCTAAATATTTCACACCCTTGCAGGTAAGTAAATGAATAATTTGATTCCTTACTTTAAGTATTAAAACTTCAGATCGTAAAAACAAAGATTTATGCTTCTGCACTGATTGAAAGGATAAAAGCTTGCATATATTCCTTATTCTTATTGTGATTCTTTTGACAAGAAGATAAAAAACATTTTGCTATGTCTGACCGTTGCTGCTATCTCAACGTGGTTGTCGAGATCGCATAATGAAATATCCTAACTAAGCTATGTTGGTTGGAACACTAGTTCCTTTAGGTCAGTCCGGTTAGACTCAGTGGTTTGAATATACGAAGGAACTTAAAGTTGAAGTCGTACTGTTGACTGTAAAAGAGTATGACAATAGACTTCCAACATCCTTACAGATGCTAGGTTGTCCCAATACAAGAGACAGGCTAGAAAAGTTGACTAACAATTTCATACTTCGCTTTACTCGAGTTTTTTTTCCGGTGATAAGGCCTTTTGAATCGCGGAGCTAACACGTCAAAAAATTTCGAAAAAATGGTCGTATACGACCGACTTCAAGTAGTTTACCTTTGGGCTCTATGATCACCCTCTCAAGCAGCTATGACCATCACCAATCCAGTTTCTTTTTCAGGTCCCTTAAGAAGAAATCTTCTTACACGGTCTGAACAACTGGATAGTGACCTAAAATCACACGAGATCACCTCGTTCATCACCTACAACGCAACGTGAACTTTGTACTGAAACTTATTTGTTATAGCCTACAGTTATCGTTGTGATAGCAAGTAAATTTACTCTAACGATTCTAAAGCACATGTGAAAAGGCTGGTACTAGCTTGAGATATTCATTTAACCACATCATTTGGTTTAAACATAAACTTTTAAAACATAAATAGAAGCAACCGCCACAAAATCAGTATGTTAAGTTAGTTCTATTATAGTTTTATAATATAGTAGTTAATCTTAAACTCTACGTTTCTAGTATATAATTGTTCTGGAAAATTTCATCGCCTCTAAACTACAAAAAATATAGTACAGTGTATTATAAAACATGCTAATGTTAACATGGAATAACGTATAGCACGACAGAAAACAGTGTACATGTATAGAAAATGAATGATAAGCTTTTTCTTTATGATATTAGTTTGAAAGCATCTAACAAACCACTATAGTGAAAAATAGTTCTAGATATCGAGATGACACACAAATCCACAAACGTCTAAAGTAATCAAGTTAGTTTCAGCAGATCTATGATTTATTTGAAATATGCACGGAATGTAGGTGTTAAACTGCCTTAAGTTATATGAATGAACCTGATTTAACACCATGGTAACGTAAAAAAGTGAAAACTTTATGAAAGAAAGAAAATTTTGCAATAATAATACCGGCTCCTTACCGCACGCATGAACTACTCAGAAAAGACCACGTAATAATAAAACAGAAGTAAAAAACATGTGAAATGACACATATGAACAGCGATCTGAATAGATGGATTTTAAATCATAATATGAAGAAAAATTTGATAGAAGGCAAAGTAAAAGAGTAAAATTAATTATTATGATAGTGAAAAATTGAAGAAAACAAGTTGCGAACGAAGTAAAAGTATGAAGTTATGATACGTCAAAGAGTATGAACGAGTAAATCTGGATTGCTTGAACTAATTTTCAACTGTATCACTTTGTCTTTAAACGCCTGATAAGTCCTAATCAGGATTTATGAATTTTCAAACGCATACAAGAAAGCAACAAATGTCTGTTTCAGATTCTGGATTACAAATGAATTTAACTGAAACTGAGGAATGTTTCATAAGATTATTAGGAATAATGGATCGGAATGAGTTATGAAGAACACCGGTTATTGATGCGTTTCAAAAGTTTTTGAAAAGTTTGAAACTATTTAAGTTTAAGAGTTTACAATCTAATGGTGTTCATTAACCATAATCCAATTCGTCTTTGATATTTGAAGCGATAGATGACATATTCGAGTGTAAGTGGGAACATTACATTATTTTGATGTAAATATATTTGCCTGATGAGTTCTGAATACCATGTACTACACACATTGGATTCTACTGCTAGCTCCTGAAAATCAGGATTTGTAGGTATTATAAAAATGTGGTATCAAGATTCTTGGTAAGAACAGTCGAAATGTCCATAAAGACTAACCAGGACGCTACTGTAAATTTACAACGAAGAAAATTTGGAAGCTCCCATAAAGTATCTTTATCAAAGGGGTAGTGGAATTGATCACTCTGAAGGTTCTTACTTTTTTTCATGTACTTAGAAATTTTACGAATTATAGAATTTTTACTGAAAAGTTATATTTAACAATGTTTGCATCGATTTGCATACACAGGAAAACTTAGTGACAATAACCTTAACAGGTTAAATGAGTTTTATAAATAATATCATGTAATGTATATTTAATCTGTGACATACCGTTCAATAAACCGATCAAGTTATGTACGACCCCAGCTTCAATAACCATTTTACCTGCATCAGGATCTTGGCATATGGCACTAAGCATTCGTACAATTTCTAAAATTTCATCATCTTCTAGGTGATTGGGAAGCATTGGTGATGAAAAAATTGATCCGAAACCGTTGTTAACTTCGGAAGTTGTACTTAAAAAATCATTTGATTTCTGAACGTGTACGCTCTCCAGTTGGCTTTTGATCCATTTCAGCAAACTGAATTCAGTGATTACCTTGCTGTACTGAATATCTTTAAGATTGAGGTTAGCTAAACATCCTAAGCATTCAAACTTGAAGTCTTCTTTTTTCCTAAATTCATTTTCGTCATCATCATCATCATCATCTTTTTCGTTGTCGTTATCATCGTCTTCATTACAAACACCATTAATAACGTCGTCAGTTTTGTGAATTTTCATTTTTAAGCGGTTTTCTAATAAACTTGAAGTGTTATTCTGGTTGGTTTTGGAGTTCAGTGCCTCAATGTTCAAGTGCTTTTTACTACTTACCTTCAATTTATCATATCGAGTTGCTTTTGTAGAAGAATAAAGATTTCTTGGTGTATTCATCAAAAAGGGTTTTTCTTCAGTCACGATTTTTAATAATTCCGGCAGAAAATCCTTCAAAATTGGTTGGATAGAGTAAACAAAATAATAAAAGACAAATTAACGAAAAGGTGTAAATTTTTAGGTGGAAATAGTTTTAATGCTATTTTTGGTAATCTAAATCGGGGAAAACTGTTTGTAGTCATAGAGCTTCTCTTCTCGTTGTTGAACCACACAGAGACTTATGTTAAGAGAAGTTATGCAAAAATACTATTTGTGAGACTGAGAACTCACGGTTTTCGAGTAAAAGGTCTAAAGTATGGATATCTGAAAGCTTCACTAGGTAGTATATGTTTATGAAACAACGGACTAACTGCATCATTTGTCAAGTAATATAAGATGTCTATGGGGATTTTTTGAATTTCCTAGTTAACATTGTGGACTGATCTTAATTAAATAATCACCGGAAACCAGGAGACACTGGATAGCCTTTTTGTTTCAGTACGGGACTCTTAAGCAGTACACATCGACGGCCCCACAACCAGTGTCAAGTGCTAAAAGAGCATTTACCTTAGATTACATGTATTTAATGTTCGTAAACGATTATTATAATGTGTTATGACAAACACGGTCAAGTAGGGGAGAATATAAACAATACAATAGTTATACTTACTTCTCTCTGACTGTTTTACAATATTACTGTTACCCCATGGTATTTGGGTTATAATGTTTGGATGACTGAATGAAAACAGTACATTTTGCTTTTTTGCTGTGTTCTTACTTTGGGGTGAATACTGGGCTAAACAAAACAGGTTGAATTATGAGCAAATAGATTGGCTCAGTTACTATGTAAGGTTAATTGTTGTGAATGAGAGTGCATCATCAGTGGTTAAAGTTAATATGGCAGGTCTGTAGGCGAAAAGGGTAAATTATCAATTAGATTTGCATTGGTGACATTTTACCTAATGATCCAAATAAAGAACATACAGTTAGACCTCCAGGATATAATAGTTGCCATCTATGATATCCACTATTCGATTAACATCACTTCGGAAGTTTTTAGTTTCACAGACGACTGAACAAAAACAACGGTATTTGGAAGAGTCGATGTTATTGTTCAATAGCTTCTACCAAACTATTATATTGTTTAACAAGTAAATGATTAAAGTTAAGAAACTATGTAATTTTCACAAAATATACATTTAAATTAGTAAAAACATCAAGATCTACAACTACTTACTACCATCTTTAGTTTTAATAAATCATTGTTCTGTATTGCATTACGTAGTAACTTCATGATTAATTGATCACGGAATTTTATTGCACGCTTACTCATCAGTTTAAAACATCGACCTTCACCAAGCATAGCATTTGCACATTGATTATCTAATACCAAGTTAATACCTAGAGCCATTGGGATTAAATCAGATTTCTCTTCAGGATTTTCTAGTATTAATTTCTTAAGCTAAAAGTAGGGAGAAATTCACTATTTATTCATGTAGCCTGAAAATATAAATGACAATAATGCCTTATCCAATCAGTGTTTTATAATTATCATCAGTAATTGCCATTAAACAAACATTTTGTGTGGAACTAAATAAATTTTATGAATAAATCAAATAGATAGAAGATGATCTTCATGAATCACTAGTAGATAGACATGCAGACAAAAAAAATGCCAACTTGGAACATAGTAACTCATGGCAGTTTAAGGTAACATTCTTTTAAATGACTCAAAAACAAAGTCATTACAAGCAAGAAGATAATCAGTTCAAGTGAGAAAAGTATAGATGGATAGAAGGTAAACAGATGGAAAGAAATAAAAATATTTAAAGTTTGGTGCGAAATAAAGACCCAACAACTTTAAACGAGATTAGTTGGCACGAAGAAATGAAGATTTCCAGAACTTGAAGCATGTCAGCCGGAAAGCTTAGAGGTCTGTCGTGGTATCAAATTACTATTCAGTAAATCCAAAAATTCATGGTGGAAGTACATTTAGCCTTCTAGTAAGCGGATTTAACTTTGGTCCTCATCGCTTATCTAAGCATTCATAGTACAAGATTACTAACAAATACTTCATCCTCGTCAACTAATTCACATCATGAAATCAATCTATTCGACTGTTATATTTTCAGTCGTCCTTACCAATCAACCAGTGTTATAGCAAAGATGATATCCTGTTTTAAAAAATTGCTAAAATCTAAAAATGGTAGTTGTTTGTGCTGGTGGTATTATTTGTGTATAAAATTTAATACTTTGGTTCGAGTTTTATGGCCAGTTATCAATCGGTTTTGTGTTTTCATTACCTTATTATAACATGACATCTATCCCACTCAGATATTCAGATATGAACCAATTCAAAACTGTTCATTTATATGATTCCAAAATTACATCGAATGTTGTATTAAAATTATTGCTGATATCTACTCACTTTGCCCTCATTTACTAATCATGAATATTTTATGATAATAGAATTTACTACCAGCATCCAATGTCAACGATTTAGTAACCATCAAAAATTGAAAACCGTAGTAAGGGGAAGGTTTAGTTATCAAATCACACGAACTTCAGTCACTGAGCTGAAATTTTGAACAGCTTCCTTACGACATCCTTTTGAACGACTATTTAGCATCATTATCTTACATACAAAATGTGAGCCTCAAGACCTGATGAATAGACCTGTACTTGTCAAATGAGTTACGAAAGTTTACAGAACTTAGGAAACAAGCTGAAGTACATCATTCTTATACCTTATAATTTGCAATTTCTGATTTTGGAGATCAATGTTACTCATCGTTCTTAGTACAGAGATTCTGCGGTAAGGGATATTTTGATACTATTTGCTGGATGGTGTATTCATCACTTCGAATATCTGAAAATGTAATCTCAATGTTAGAGTATATGTACACGAAGTAGACCAATTCATTATGACCATTATTGGAAAATTACAGCTTTCATGGCTTAATAGCTCAGAGGTAAATCGATTTATTTTAAATTGAGTTCTGAGTTCGAGTATCGAAAGAAATCCCACACACAAAAATGCGTTGTAAAATCATCCAGATGAAATATCGAAAATAAATGTACAAACAAGGTTGAAATGGAAAAGCGTACAAACAAATTTCCTACAATTTTGTGTTTAGTAAATCAGTATTTAATTAAACGTCAAATGAAAACAAAATGATAACTTACAAATGATAAACAATGTGTATTGACAAACGCCGGTCTGGATTGAGCTTCTGTTGTTAAATGGTATAGTATGTACAAAGCTACTGGTTGATGTTGAGTATTTTCTAGTTTAAAAAAATACTATTGATGTAATAAATATGATAAACTAAAATAAATTATAGTTCAGTATTCTGTTTCATTATAGAAATTGGATTTCTGGGGGGGGGGAGCAACAAATAATGAGACTAATAATGGCATAATGAAGCTACTGAAACAGAGATCATAAAGCCTTTTTTTAATTTTTGGTAATAATAATAATACAATCAGAATCAAGAAAGGACTTTCTTTAGCTTCTTATACTAAAAGTTTACAAGTCAGAGAAAACAAAACTTGGTTGCCAACGATAACACCTTCAAAGTCAACAGAAAACCATGTCAAGCCATTACGTTTTTTAAAAAAAGACTCTGAGGATTGAAATAAAAGTTTGTTCATCTGTGCACTGTGAGTAGTTGAAATCATTATTTATTTCATGACGTTACAAAGTGACTCGTTATTTTGAAGGATTCATGCAATAAAGGTACTAACGAACAAGACTGGTTATCTCCAGCTTGTCATGGACTGATCTCCTACCTGTAACTCCTTCCGTAGGTGATATAGAACTGTAGGGAGATAGTGAAAAGAGATCTTATAAAATAACCTGATAGAAAATTCATAAGCATTTAAGATGTTTCGTATCTGTCAATGAGAATACGCTACGAAACCTAACTTGTCCAAAAACTTAAATTACGAAAGTATGTAGTTGTTGAGTGTGTTAACCACCTCAGATGTTTGGAGTTTGTGTTAACATTATTCGAACAGTGGCGGACAGAGTTATAGCAAATATGCATAAACATTTATCGACATTTCCCAAAAATATATCACTGCAATCGTGACTAATACTAGTTTTTATGAAGTCGTTCCTTTGTGAAACAAAAGAATTGGAGTTAAATATTATGCTAAATTAACAGGCGTCTGACTATAGGCATCTTCAGAACACTGTTCGAGTACAGGTAAATTACAAAATATTTAACTTAAACTATTGTCGTTGTTTACAAGTACGTTGTCTCTTACATAATGAAATCTTTACTTCCCCCTTTTATTTTTATTGTGAGGTTTTGCTTTTCAAGTTTGTTTTCTAGTTGAAGTTAGTAGTTTCTGCATACATTCTAATTTTTTCTAATAAATGTATTTCTACCTTCATCTCATAAGTCAGACATATAACTAATTAGGCAATCTTGGAGTTATTAAAACTACCCCAATATTTCCAAAAATTGTCTGGGGAAACTTGTAACTTTTGTTCAATTATTTTCGATATATGAGAGAATTTAAGTACTTCATCGTTTGGAAATCAGTATGAAGATTATTACCGCCATAAATTGTACTCTCATAGAAAGAGAGGAACAATAGTAGGAAGATGGTAAAGTGCATCAGGAGACAGAATAAAACTGACTGGTAAACAAATATTTATAATATAATATCCTCAAGATTTTTAATCCATGTGAACTTATGATTTTAATGCTACTTATTATTACTATGATTTGAATAAGTAACATGGTAAAATTCCGCAACAATTAATATTATATACCAATATCGGTTGGCGGATTAACGGATGTATATAGATTTATCACCATCTGTTCTCAGATCTTCTGGGTTCTTTAAATCTGAGATATTTACACACTGAGATGGATTTTCACTTGTGAAATTACTTATCTGTACTTGATATTACGCATCAATAATCTGATGAAAGCATTGATTATCTAACAAGTTAACTTTTGGTATTGATAAGGCATATATTTTGGTTCATCTCATGTAACATAAAAAACAGTGAGTCTCTAATTATGTACAGTTAGAATACAGTTTTACGTTAACCACTAGTTGGACAGCAAATGGATTTATCTCATTTTGGGAATAATGAAAATTCTTATAGAGTATATTGATTCAAAAATATACGGATTCAACGATGTCTTAGTATATAAACTGAAAACGTCTCCGAACAACATGAGCTTGTCTTTTCAAATTACTTGAACGTTTTGTGCTGTAATCATCTTTGATTGTTTGGATCAGATCTACTGCATTCAATTTCGGAATTGCTTTGGAAGTGAAACTAATGACTTTCGTTGACGATATGTGATATTAAAAGAGACAAAGATGTGCACATAAAATTCAAAAGCAGTTGCTTTGAACTATAACTACCCTTTACCCTGAGTACAGTCATAACGTAATTTAATCAACCATTATTAGTTAAAAATACAAACTGACTCTTCAACTCACCTAATAATCCTACAATTTTATTTAAAACACCTTTGGACACCATTTCTAGTCTAGCAGATGTATCGAAACTAAGGTTATATAACAAACGTAAACACAAGTTAACGAGATCCTCTTCTGGTCTACATAATATTTTGGATAATCTGTCAATTATACCATTTTTTAACTGAAATTCAATAAGAGAATGTAAAACGGTTTGGACGGTAATCAGAACGTACTGAAGACAGAATAAAATCACAATTAATATTAAATAAGTGCTATTTTCTAGATACAACCATAAACAATATAGAATATGACATAAATATAAATAATTTCCACTTTCATTAATACCGTGAACATCGCTTAAGGCCACCTAAAGCAAAGCAGTTAATGTAAAACCAAGATTTATCGCAAAATCAGAAGAAAATAAGTTGAAAACGAGTGAAAAGTATGCGGTAATACTGAACTCAAAACTTGGAGCAAGATAAAGAGTAAACGCATTCGGAGATTCATAATCGATCTCCAAAGCAGTGGTTGTTGAATTCACGAATCAATTTCAAATACTGGTGTTCCATAACGTTAATTCTTTTCAACCCATGATACTATGGTAGCTAGAATAATTCATGGTGGCAAGCAATAGCTACATATAGGTAACATGAATCCTGATCGTTTCAGAAAATGAAAATTAATAGACATCTTTATCGGCTGACTATATTTATTTACTATTTTACGTTTATTTACAAGAATACCTTACACATAAGCACAAAGGATTTCTATGGCTGAATACTTTGACCAATGTATGCCTCCCATTTCTAGGGGATAAATTTGACGTATTTAAAATAATACTGTGGAATTACGAACAGAATAATATTTACATAAAAGGTCGACGGAAATCTTGGTTAAGTCAGGAGTAGTGTGACTTAGCAAAAGATAACTGTCATTATTTCAAGAACAAAGGGTGTGCCTATACCTATTTAGTTTGGACCTTCACAAAACCCGCGCCTGCGAGACTTTCTCTGAAACATAATGAGGTTTTAAAAGCAGGCGCTTACACATATACTTTATTTTTCTTTTTATACTTTCCCAATTAAATGGTTTTACTCAAAATGACTTGAATCTGACGTGCGAAACTAGACGTGTTTCCTGTAGTCCCAGAGGAGTTCAACCGTGTCTGTTGTGAGGCATTTACTCACTGAAGACAATGATGGGCAGTCGCGCAATATCGTGGATTGGTTGAAGTTGGACACTAACACCGTTGTATGCCGGCTCAGTGGTCTAGAGGCTAAGCGTCGTGTGTCGGACCGAAGGTCCTGGGTTTGAATCCTGTGTGCGCAATCGTGGATACGCACTGCTCACGACTCCCATACTAGGACGAAATGGCCATCCATAGATTTCAGGTTGGTCTAGCTTAAATGGACTCATGAATTCAACTATCAAATCACTACAATTTCCATAAACCCTCATTCTGATAGTAAAATATGTGTATGCTGTTATCATACAATCCAATTGGATATAGTAACTTAAATTTGAACAATCCAATTGCACAATTAAAAGCTAAACAAGCTGCGAAGCGTTACTACTAAAATACATAAAGACTGCTTCAAAATACGGATTCATTATGTTGAATTTCTAACCAGTAAAAAGAGGATGGAAAGTATTTGAAACTGTTAAAACGTCATGATATGTTGAAAAAAGTATGCCTTCAGACCACGATCCATTTGAGAGCAAAACGTCTTTTTAATATGTGGATCGAAATCACTTATAGACAAAATTCATTTATACTATTTGATATTGCAATAAGTTTACTTTATAATTAGACTATATGAAATAGGATTAATTGTTAGGTGAATAAGATTCAAATTTAATAATTTAACTTTCGCTTACCATTTCATCCTTGTTCTCAGAGAATATACTCAATTTTTTCAAAAATGAGACAAGCAGTATTAACAGCTCGAAATTATCTCGGTTCAAACATTTACAAATCATAGTAACTATTCCTTTATTGTGCATTTTAATTTCAACATTAATGTCTTCACTGATATTCAGTAGTAAGTAAAAGGAAACTATAAATTATCATAGGGAAGGAAATACAGGATACAAATAAAAAGTCCTTTCTAACGAATACTTTCAATGATATTATTGGTCAATTATTCAACATCAAGAAACATGGTCACCATAAATCAGTTAAATTTATCAAAACAAACCAGCTTATTCATCAATCAACAGCTAGCCCCAAGATACTTGAAAAGTGTTCTTTACTGATCTTTGTCCTTACGTAAATAAACAGATATGTCAATTCTCCACTTTTTCTTAGTCATTTCTTTTTTACGTATTAATTGTACTACTTACTAATGTTTAGCAATTAATATAATTGTCAATCATTTATGAACATACAGAGCATGATGTTACAATGGGTAACCAAGCTATAACTGCATAAAATATTGAGCCACACGCCCAAGGAACCCATTTAACAACATAAACTGATAAATTAAGCCTCGCAGATCAATAAGTGGAATCTACACACATTACTTACAGGCACGGTTATATTACAGATACGAATTAATATTTAGTTGACCATACTAAGTTAAATATTATGCTAGTCGTTGAAGCTGACAATCATCATCTTATGTCAGTATATTTTTTACTTTCGATTGACAATAATGTTACTTAACTTGTCTGTGGCTTATATTTGTTCAACGGGCATCTAATATTGTAAATGTATGGAATTAAATGAGTATCGTATTGTTAGGCATTTCTAACCATTATCAAAACAAATGATTTTGTTCCTCATCATGAAATGTCAGATACAAGAACTGAATGTATCCGTCATAGTATATTAAATGAATTTTAGGTTATGAAATTTCTATGGCTGGCATATATTTGGATGGTGTAAGAAGAAGACGAACAGTATCAAAACTATGTGACATATATTACCCTAATTTGGAGCTCACTATTGCTCCTCCCTATACATGTATGACATAGCTCAAGATCATTTGCAATGGCACAAGTGCATCCACTCTTTGTGTTCTCCCAAATTCAAATCTCCTGAATCCTCCTTTTTTCTTTTTTTTCTATTTCCGAATTTACTTCACTGGATTGTTCTCTTTAAATAACATCTTCAAACCCTGATGTTTCCGATTACTGCATATACTCTTACCGCCTCTACCACCACGGGATTTGAATCGATAACTGCATCTTTGTGCTAATGTGGTGTGGCAACTCGAACTGATGTATGTACGTACGAAGTTCTACGTTGTTACTGACTGACTGTATGGTCACACATATTTAAGTAGGTAAACTCAGTTGGATATGGCTCAATCGTTTTCATCTTTTTTAAGTTTTTGATAAAGCATAGACAATGTTTTTCATTGATAATGACCCTTGTTAAGTCTTACGTTGATGATATAACCGTGTATCTTTTATTCATCTGTATATTAGCATGAAATAAATATGAATCGACCCTAACTTGTTTTTATGCCTAAATAGATTTAAGTAACTTACCCCTAAACAACTGTTCTTGTTTCCTGACTAGTGATTTATACTTCAAAAAGCTTGTCTCATAATTATTTTGTGCTTCATCCACCAAAGATTTACCATCCGTTGTCAAACTTGTCTCAGATTTATTGTTCGATAATTTGTGTTTTCTTTCTAGTTCTTCAACCCATAAGTCATATTTCTTTAATTCATGGTCAATGATGGTCATAATTAATGCACCTTAAACGAAAATAATTTCAATGAAACTAGGATTAAAGGTTTACTTAGAACCTTAAAATGTCGTTGGAATATGTTCTTAATGATAATATTGCTGATTCAATAGATTATTATTATCTATTTACTAGCCCTGAATAGTTTTGTTAATAACTCTCCACGAAACTAATTCAAATTGTCAAATATGATACAATTGATGGTGGTCTTAAAAAATGTTTCGTACGCACGTCTCGGGAGATTACCGCTCTATATCAAAAAAATTTCTTCTCAACGAAAAAATATCGAAAACATGTGCTTAAAACATTGTCAGCCTCTACGAGCATTTACTCTTAACATTGAAAACAGGCCCACGTAAGCAAGGTAGAATTTGACTGCATATAAGAAGTATGAAAACGTAATTGTCCATTCTAAAAATGCACAGGTGGAACAAACAGATGTCAACAGTTGCTGCAACTAATGATGGTAAAGCTCAATAGCAAGATGAAAGATTGGAATTGCTGCTTCTAATCATAGATATTTGGCCTTATTTGGTGGACTACTAAAGTCTCTTCTCATGAGCAAGTATCTGGTCAATGAGTCAGTTTGTTTGAATCTGTAGATAATTTTCAAGGTTACTTTATTTGCATGAATAGCCAAAATTGATGAAGTGTCCATGAATGGAGCCGTTGATCACCTTGCGTTCAGCTTTGATAACTATATGGAGCAATATTCGAAGACACATGAAAAGAGCACAATCTATGCAACCAACAAAACATGATGCACAGGAAGAATCAAAATGGTAGACAAACAATCAAGCCGTTCAAAGCAGCAGTCAGTTCTTAGCACACATTTGAATATGACAGTTATGAAGAGAATGAAAAACTATTTTGGAAGATGAATGTTGTGAAGCAGGTGAAATTTACGTCCGTCTATCAAAAAGCTAGTATATTGAACAATAGAAGGCCTTTTACTAATTGGGAGCTATTAAACATAGTCTATAAAATTAACAAATATAAATAAGGCCCAAGTATCTAAATGTGTGTATCTTAGAAGCACGGTATGAGAGATATATCAAACGAATAGTATTATGAGAAGAAGTAAAGTTTTTAATGAGAGCATCAAGTCGATTAACGGGGTAATAGACCTTCAATAGCTAAGGTAGCTAGGATATATTTTATGCATAACGTTTCATTACCTAACTGGAGTTGTAGTACAAGCTGGCCCAAGAGTACATCGAAGGAAATTTTGGAGATCCTAAAAGAGACATATCATTATTATAAGAGGTAGGTGAGCTATTCTGGTTGGGACACCCGTGATCATTGTAACCCATCGTTACAAACGTTGCTTGCAATGGGTTAAAACTTACTACAATGGTACAGATATACTTGCTTTCTATCTCCCCTTACATCTTTGGTTTCGTTTTAGTTCATGAACTTTATTATTCGATCAAACTCAATTCTTTATGGCCACAGCTCACAAGTTATGCAGTAACAAACACAATGATTTCGTCTCCATCTCCTTTTGCCTTGTTAATTTCTCCCCTAAATGTTCATTCGTGTGGTATAGAAACTTAGAACGATGTCATGTAGTGTCCTGTCCTGAGCTACCTATGAATAAATGTCCACCACATCTTTCAGAAGTGAAAGATACCTCTGTGGACTATGGTATAGTGAAAATTCGTCAATCGCATTAGATGGATCAAGTATAACCCATAGATCAATTGATGCAGCGATGATCATTAACCATGTACTGAGTGTCAAGAGACACACTGTACAGTTATAACGGAAATGAAAACTAGACCATTTCATCAGAATGAATATTGTGAACAAAGACAATATCAAAGTCGGTCGTCTTATAATCTTTTAAGATAGTTAATTATTTACCGGTAAAATGGTTACATTTAAATAAACCTACCAATTTTGAAGTGCAATATTACCCCGTGGAAATTTGAGAAGGAAGAAAAACAGAAGAATATATAGGCTATGTTTGTTGCTAAATCTGTGCTCTTTTTCCAGTCTTCACGAAGAACTCTTGCCAAAGCACCAACAAGGGTTTCTATGAAGAAAATATTCAAGTTCAATACAAGGCAAAAGTCATAAGTCGCAAATAAATATATGCTTCTCTAAACACAGTGTAAGGCCAATCTATTAAAACAGTTCCAAAAATGTTCGAACCAATACCTCGGACTTTTTAAACAAGAATGTGTTCCGAAGCTTAAAAATATGTTATCTAAACTTATCAACCTTCATGTAATTAAAATTTTTATTCCAAATTATTGAACTGATGTTCCGGAAGGAAACATGAAATCTTTCCATGCTATTTTATGCAGATTCATGTCATGTAGCACTGGTTAAACATTTGTTTGAAAATGATTGGTGAGAAACCTTGAGCGGCAGCACCATATTTTCCTACCCATGATTCTTGATGGGGAATAAAATAGGTAGACTATAGAACCAGAAACATCTGCGTCTCTATTTGTTTGTAACAGAACTATTCGAGTGATAGTACTGGCGTTAAACAATAGGCTGTAGGGAAAATAAGTAAATGGTTTGATCGAACCATAAAAACAGGTCGACTAAGGGAGTCAAATTATACATTAGATACTTTCAATAATGTCATATTCAGAAGTGAGGAAAGACAAGCATAAGGACGGGATAAAAGAAGGCTTAGTTGATTCAGTTAGAAGCAACTTATCATATCCCAACATCAAAAGGTTATTTCGACATGTACTATTATACTTTGGCTCTCTAATATGATTCACATGGATATAACGAAAGTTTATTTAGATATGTTGGAGGGAAATTCATTGAAAAATTGTGGAAGCATTTAATATCACATATACAACAAAATATGTCATTAAGATCTAAGTTAGTATAGTTTATGGATTGATTTTATCGTACTCACCGTAACATTTAAGTTGGAAGTACTACCGCTAAAGCGTAAAGTTAGGCTCCGTGAAACATTCGTTACTACCAATAGGCAATAATTTTAAATTTTATCACTTTTGTGAGAAGGCGCAGAGTTTCTGTCTGCTAAGCCTCATATGTTATCAACGTGTATAAGTCTACCATAAGGAGGTTCGGTATACAATAAACGATCTTGGCGTTATTTCTATTTTTGTCGTTGAGTGATTCAAAGCGGTTCTAATAGTTGTGACAGGTTATAGCATCAAAAAAACCAAATTTTGTGTTATAAATATCTATCCTGTATGAAGTCAACGAACTTAAGAATGTCATTGCCTTAATCTGTGGAAAAATCCAAATACCTCATCAACATCATCAGTACTAAACATCAAACAGTAATCCAGCTTTATAGACGCTGACTTAGGTATCTGTTTTTTATCCTCTGGAGAGAACTAAGAATCTGAAGGACGACAAAAACAAAACACAAATTATGAAGATGTGGTTTCAACTGACCATTTTGAAACAGCTCCTCTAAATTGTCGGAATTTCTCGCAAGTTGTAAAATTAAAGCCGATGCACGTAGCTTTTCTGATATACCTTCATAGAGCAGTTCTAAATAATCCTCAAGTTCAGTCAAATGAGCAATTTCATTTATTTCAGTTGAATCGAACGCTCCAGGATCAGCAAGTGTTTCTGATATGATTGATGGTTTTTCTAGCAAAAGATAATTTAACACTAAAAATATAGAAATACTGGACAAAATTAAAATTTAACAATCATTAGCAGCTGTATAAAGGATAGTGCCGACCGTGTCATTAAAACGATTTTCATTCAAGCCACTTGATTTTCAGAAATGTACGTTTCGTTAGTGTAAGGATCAGATTAATTTAGCATCAAGCTTCTGATAATATGAAAACTGATAAATGAACGTTTCCACGAAAGATTTATTGAAATTCAAAAATTAGAGAAACATTTTCATTCGGATTTTTTTATCAGAATATAAGAAAACACTCTTTTGATCTGCGATGTTTATGTTTTGTTAGCAACTTTTAACTCGAGAAAGACGTCTTCTTTACTGTGAATTACAGCAACAAATCAATTTATTGTATAGAAAATGAATGTGAAATGCATCTACGAAGTCAAAAATATTAGACAATGTTCTCGTTAAGAAATGAAGTGGATTTCGGTCATATATACCTTCCAATCTATTAAAATTTGATATAAGCTTACAAAACATAAGGCATTTCACCTTCAAATCAAACCATTAATTTCATATGGCAAGTATGTTCTGAATTATTTTTCTGATTTTGCGGTAATGATATAACATTTTTATACATACGGGTGTAATTCATGTTATCAGATATGTACTTTTAAATGCAGTTTTTTATAATAGGTTGTATTGCAACGTTTGTAGCTACTAACTACTGGACTAAGCCTAAAAAATGCATAGTATAGCTATAGAATGTCCAAAATATGGATGTTGAGACAGAAACAGATATATAATTCAGCAGTGAGTAATATTTCCTGGTCAAGAAATTTAGGCTTATGACTTCGCAAACTAGATGCACACTTTTAATAATTGATTAACTGTTATTTTAACTCATTAAAATTTGGTCATTGATTGCACGCTTACAAATGACATTTGTTATGCCATTATTTTTTATGTCCTGTTAAGTGGAGGTTGGTGAATAAATAATTCTTTACATAAAGTCCTGCTGTCTTACTTGCGTAGACAATAGCGACAAGTGGCAGAAATCGGCTAATCGCAAGGCGTGGCGAGCAGCTGTGCTTGTCGCAGCAACCAGAACTTGCTTTGATTCGTAACACTGATATATCAACCTTGTCTGTTTCATAGCAACGAGACAAACTATTATTGAGACGACACGTGATCTAGATGGAGCTTGGTCATTCTTTCAAAATGTATCTACCCTATAAATCTGACTGACAATTTTGAAATCTCCTTGTTGTCACTTGATTTAAGTAGTTACATTTCACCTGGCCGTTCGTTCTTCAAAAGTTTTATGCAAATCTAATATATGAGGCTATATTTTCTTAAGAAAGTCTCATGTTGTTAAGCAATCAAATTCGTCGGCCACATAGCTTTCCCTTGTATATGGAAAGTAAAAAATTCGAGTGTTTATATTTTTGTGAGACCCTAGAAAGTGAGAAAATTTGGTGATTGGTTTGAATATCTGTACTGGATAAAAAAACACGAACTTTTTTCATCAGTTAAACAACTGAATCATTTTATTTCACGTTGAAACAAATAAATTAACTATTTTGTAACAACCAATACACTTCAGTCTTTTATTTGCTTCCCAGATTATTTAAAGTGGCTAGAAACGTCTTCAAATTTCGTGCATTACCGAACAGTGATTAGTAAATGAGTATGGGAACCCATTCTACCTGGTGTTTGTATATCCATATATTCTATGAATCACATTTGGAAAATAAACATAGCGGTCTTTGCAGTGTGCAATCTCTGTTTTCAAATGATATCTTACGAGTAAAAGATCTAAAACCATAAATGTTTTTCAGTAGTATGCAATGAATTCAGGATGAATCGAGAGAGAATAAAGATCTCCTGGTAGTAGGTAACCAAACTGGAGTCCTTCTGGAATCACACTTTCCTACGTGCTTTTAAGAAACACTTATATAAACTAAATATAGACTAAAAAATGTCCATCTTGTAGTGTTTATAGGGTCAAGCTTGAACAGTCTATATTTAATGACAACGTAAACTTCCGCATCGAATAATTATATATATAATAGAAGCTGTCATTAAAACAGCAAAAACTAACGATTTTTAACTTTCTTTGTCTCTTTTCTTTTCAGCAAATACTTTAGCAAGTGTTCAACTTGTGGATATTTGTTTTCCGATATCAATTTGCAGCTTGAGATAATCTTTTTGGCCAGCTCAGGGATATTTGTGTTTTCATTCAGATTTCTAACCCGAATTCTATATATTTAAAATCTTATAAATCTATATGTCATTACATTTTTTGACTTTCCTTTCGATCCCCAACCATTGGATTTCCTAATTCCCCAAGAATTGTAGCCTCCGTTTCATAGTGCACAACAAGTGCCTTTTCAGTTGGATGCACATCTATGGAACCAGCGCGTATTTTTCTTTGGCAGATTCGTCAATACTACTAACATACCTTTTCAGAAATTTGGCATCTTCAACCATTTTAAATTCCCGGTAGTAAACAAGGACAGAACCACGGAAAACAGAGAAATTAATTGGTTAGCTGAATAAAACTGTATATGCCATTCAATAAACAATGAATAGTCCAAATCTTGCACTCTAAAACGTCTGAGATAAAAAGTTAGTTTTCTTCTAATAATCATTCCAAAGTGTGAATCATTTCACAGATGGAGTTCCGATGCATATGTTGAAGTAGATTAGTTGTTGATTCTAATGCTGTTTTAACTTGTATGACATTGACAATGTCGTTATGCCGTTCAGTGTGGCAGCTGGATCTATTTTTTCTCACTTCCTTGAATGCTGGCCTTGTGGATGGAGTGTCATCCTAGAAACTAATGCGGAAACCTTTTTTTCAAGTAATTTTGGCAATATTGTAGATATGAAAATGATATATATTAAGTGACTAAGTAACATAGAATCATTCAGTCTGTTAACTTCCAAACATCACAGGCATTAAACTAAGCATTCATGCTCGACCATCTTACTTATTGGGCAGCAGCCCAAGATAACGTTCGTCTGTCAATGTAATACTCACAGATTTTAGCATTTGATATTATCATTTAGGTCTTATGCAGAAGCACTCTAGCTTCGAAGTGACAGGTGCTGAACGTGAATGGGTTAGAAACTTTCTCTGTAAGTGAGGACAAAAAAGTGAGGGTAGGTGAGAAATTATCTGAATGGAAGTCGCTCAAAAGTGTTGTACTCCCAGACATCATCTTAAGTTCCATAATTTTCCTTTTCAACGTCATTGGATTAACGCGACTGCTTACATTGTTGACATTATTGTTTGCTGATTATGTCAATACCCGAAGAAGTGAGGCTGATCACTATGACCTCTAAGCTGACCCAGACGAACTAGGTAAATGGTGTCAAAGTCGAGGCTTAGAAACCAATGCTAAAAAGAATATGTTCATGTACGTCAGGCAAAGTTATGATTACTAGTATGCTATCAACAGTTCATCGCTCCCACGAGTGCAGAAACACAAAACATTCTGGTTATTCGTAAACCACAACTGTGCATTTTAATTCACCATTTAACAAATGTTTCCGATAGTTATAGTTAATTCGTCGCGCATTCAAATGCATTACCGAGCAGGATATTTTGAACTTCATATCCTATTTATGTAATAGTGTGGTGTATGGTACTATATCAAGCCCAAATGGGTTACTTTAGCTTCTGGATAGACCAATGTATTCATTTTTTCAATTCACATTTCGTTTAAACTGTTGTTTGTGAAAGCCTTTTTCTACTCGCTCATCAAGTTTTCGAATAAAAGCAAGCGTACTTTCTTAGAAAATACATTCCGACTGAAAAGAATTTAAGTTCAGTCACTTAAAAACGTCACGAAAAGTCTAAATTTGAAGCCGATTTACATGTATTCAATCGAATATTGCACTAGGATATGGTGATTCTAACTTTTAGAACTTGGCTGTCGCCTGCTTGTCACGTAATCACATATTTTATGATCAGCCTGGATGTTAAACAGATTGTTCACATAGTTTAACTTCATGGTAGGAAGTTACATCGCCAATACATCTGACTATCTCGGCTGTCAAATATGACAACGGAGTCTTCAGTCGTTTCCAGTTTTTTCATGATCACGTATCATAACGTTTTTCCAGGTTTAAGCCAGAAAAATCACTTCAGATCAATCGACGGCTCTATTAAATTTCAGTCCTTCGGACAATGCTAACCCAATTAACTAGCTTCTCAACTTGGTTTGTTTGTTTTATTACGTACGTATTGACTGTATAATAAAACGGAACTCTCAGCACAAACCATGCATCAAGTTGATCCGTTTCTCCATTAGACAGTAGAGGACTGGATGATGAATATTTGGTGAGAGGTGTGGAGGTTGGAATGCTGAAGCGAGAACATTAGCGAGTTGCACGACTATTTTGACCATATAACTCTTTCATCTTTATACTAAGCATATTATATAGAAATACATTTTTAGTGGGATCTTGCAAAATAATGATCCTGACTGCCATGTTAGAGTGAGTCAATGTGGACAACAATATGAATCCAATAGAAGATCACGTAGGTCAGGCTGTAAAAATTAGCTTTAAAATGCTGGGCCTGTTGGCATAATAGCAAACGTTAGTCAATTAGTAACAATCATAAGCCTTAAATCCAATAAATGTTTCCGTCATCACTTACAAAATTTCACTTATTATGTTGGTAGTTTCTGTGATCGAATCTGTTGTCACCGCTAATACTAGTACTTTTTACACTGTTAGCTCTCCCTCTGTAATTACTGTGTAGATTATAGTTACCGATATATTAATGATCACTCTTACAACAATTTAATTGCTCCGGCAAATGTCTACGTCAACAATAATGTTATTAATTATACTGTAGCGTGGCGTCGAGTTGAGATTGAATATGAACACCGCTATCAAGAATCACGTGCCAAATAAATCAGAAGGCGAAGGTTGAACGTAACCAACTAAATCCATAAAATCCCCGAGAAGCCAAATATCAGAGGCAATTAATGGACCAAATCGAGATATATTTGCTGGCGATCTCGTGGTATCGAAAGGATACCGAGATCGTGCCAGGATACAAGCTTGGTTACAGAACGTAACCGAATTCGCGCGAGGTCACAATCAAAGTGTGTGTATAAGAAAGGAAGCACAATATAGCTTTCATTAGCACAGTCAAACATAAGCACATTAAAACAAACACTGGTACAGTTGGTTATAATAATAATTGTTTTTATTAAACCAGTCGTGTTCTCGTGATAAATGTGAGTCACTACAATACTATGAATGGCAATAGTGGTACCGTTTATATCACCAACAACTTTGTGGCTAATTCTTATCCAATCGGCGCTAGCCGATACATGGAGAACAATCTAGAAATCTTCTCATGTAAAAACTAGAAGTATACTAACGTTTTTCCTATTGTGCTTCTTACTTCCATCTAATTTTGTTGTTTGGAATATAATCTCTTTCCTGTTCAACCGTGTTCTGATTTGGGGACTTGTCCAGTGAATTTGTGTCGAGAATACTAACCAATAGGAATAGCTGGGTTATGACTATAAGAGAGAATTATAACAGTGGTGACGAAGAAAAAGGAAAAGAAATCCAAGACGCCCATATCAGATGACCAGCTTAACCAAATACTACAACAACAGCAAATACAACCTGATGCACAAATGTGGTTGTTGGAGACTCTGACTCAACAGCTCAACATCGACTGTTTGAGTTCACATGCTATTTCAAGTACGTCTTGTGTTGCAGCATCCCAGAATTCATCTATGATCGCGAAAGTGGAAATACTTTTCTCACGTAGTTCAAACGTTGGGATGATATATTTAGAATAGAATTCTGTAACCGAGACGACGCGTGGAAGACTCGATTGTTGGTACATAAGTTGGGAAGCAATGAACAAGCACGTTATATTGACCATATATTCCCAAAGTTACCTCGAGAGCTCAGTTTCGAGAAGAAGGTAATCCACTTGTCAGAGATATTCGGTGAGTTATTCTCATTGTTTAGTATTCGATATCGGTGTCTAAATTTGGTGAAACGCGAAGTCAATTAATGTCGTGCTCTAGCAGACATTGTCAACAGAGAATGTGAACGGTGCAAGTATTCGGAATAATTTGATAACTAAGTGTTCATCGTGTTTAATATCTTTTCTAGGCATGCATTAGATTTCGAATATCTCTATTTAGCCTTCATAGACAACCCCATTTAAATTAATTTCGAACTGCCTATGATTTGACTTTATTGAGATACTAGTACGATGACCAGAAGTATTCGAAATAGTTCGCTAAGAATTCATGAAATGGTGCAACTTGAAGCAGGTAAAACTAGATGAGTACGATTGGAGTTGATATGTTTGTAATTCTTAAAATACGCGCAATTAAGTACAAATAAATCATGAGTCAGTAAAAATACCGCAAGTAGTCCGGCGTATATTTGCAAGTTGAACTACACAACATGTCTTGACCACTTTTCTCCATATTTTCGAATATGCGGACCAAAATGAAAACCGGCAAACCTTATTTTACTATCTTGGTTATAAAGTGGAGAGCAAAGGCAATAATAATTGTCCAGTGTATATACAAGTATCGGCTTCATATTATTATCACAAAAAACCTTAGATTACTTCCAACTGCATCCCTTTTGATCTATACTTATCTCATTCACACGATAAAAGATAAACATAATGAACGAATAATAAAAGAGCCAGTCACTATATAAATATCTAATTGTGTAGACCAGTATCACCACTTCTACAGAACTAGCAAAAGGCTTATAAACTCAAGAATTTCTCACTCATACGCAAGGTTTTCAAAACTGTTGTGCAAAGGGTGACAAAACTTCTCACCTAAAAAACTCCAATGCTACCGGTTACCTAAAATTTCAAGTACAGACCTAAGCAAATGAAGATAAAAAGAAATAAAATAGTGATAAAATAGGTGGGCATTTGTAAAGCATAAATAATTAAATGAACACTTTTCTTAAGAAACGCACAAACGGTTATGTCCCATATTGCAAATTATTCAAGCATTCCAACTAAAATACCTTATTTTACATACCTTCTATTCAACAACATTACAACCTGTGATATTAAGATGTAACAGATAAGTAGATAAGAGTACTGTAAATTTAATCAAACTATAACCATAACATAGATACATTATACGGATACCAACGATCACTAACTTTCAGTTACCATGTAATGGAATAATGTTCGAAAGGCTGCATTCAGTGTCATGCACCTCACAATACGAATAAACAGTGATTGTTCGAGAATAAAAATAACGGTCCCTGTTGAGTATGACCAGGTTTAGACATGTTAGTTTTTTTGTAGCCGTTTGCATTTACCGATATTTCGTTTTCGGCTCAGTTTGTATTATAAGTGTGTGACACTAACACAATTTAAAAACCTATAAAGCTTACTGAGAATCACTTAACAAGTAAAGCTATGATCGAGTTCAGGTGTCTAGTCGATGAATTCCAGAAATTATATTGTGTCATCTACTAAATATTGGTGTGATTACCACTGA